TGGGAGAGACAGAGACAGTGAGAGGGAAAGTGAGAAATCACTCCCCAGGGAGGATGGCTATGCCACAATCCCTTCTCCTCCCTGAATCTTGGACATGCACACTCACGTGCCTGGAGTGAGTTTCAGGCCACCAGATCCAGGACAAACCGCAGCTGGCCATGTGGGAGTCCAGTGATGTAACCGCTACGCCATCTGCTGGCCCCTGGCAAATTTACAAAATTAACACGTGGACACGGACCCATGGGCTCCTCCCCTTCAGCAGATGTGGCCCGTGGGCCTCTGGACCTCTAAACCACTACTGAGTAGACCTTTCCTTACAAAGCACCCCGTCGGAGGTATGTTCTGAGTGGAACTCTGAAAACCGGGCCAGCTACCGGCACCAGCCACAAGGGGGCTTGGGCTTTGGTGGCCAGGCAGGTTCTGGGTTTGCGTCTGGGGCCCTCCCCGAGTGCCCTGTGGCCTGGGCTGGGCTGGGGCTGGGGGTGGGTGGCAGCATGGTGACCTGAGTGCTCTCACTCTCACTCACGGAAGAAATAAGTGAACAGAAACGGATAGAAAGGAAGTTACCCAGCAGGCAGCCCCGAGGCCGAGGCCGAGTCACTGTGAGAGGGCTCAGCCGGGGCGAGGGAGACGCTCCACCAGGCACGACGGTCCCGGGGGAAAGGCCAGAAAGAAGTCGGTGGAGGAGGCCACTACGTAGGCTCTCCTGGAATTGGCTCCACGGGGGCCCTGAGGAGCAGGGAGCGGGACAGACAGGCAGTGGGCGCGCGGCAGGGAGCTGGGGAGTGAGTGGGGAGTGAGTGGGGAGTGAGTGCGGAGGCTCTGGAGGGCACAGCTGTTTATTGGGGCGCGTCGGCCTCACTCCTTGAGGGAGAAGTGCATCTTGTCGTTGATCATCTTGCGCTCGGGGTTGAGGCGCTTGAGGATCTGGGCCAGCACGTTCACCGTCTGCTCGCTGCTCAGCCCCGTCTTCTTGGTCTGGAACTTCTTCAGCAGGTCCTTGGTGGTCATGGGCTTCCGCGTCAGGTAGCGGCGCACGGCGTCCTCGGTCACCTGCACGTCCCCGCTGCTGGGCGTCGACTTCCCGGAGGGCGGCTGGGGGGTGGACTTCCCCGACAGGCTCTGGGGGGCCCCGTCCAGCCGTAACCGCTTGGCCGCTGGTGCCTCGCCTGTCCGCTTCCCTGTTGGAGAGGTGAGGGCTGAGTCTGGGCCTGGGGCCAGGAGGGCCAGACAACGACAGGACAAGGGCCCAGGGAGAGCCCCCGACTCTCTGTTCCTTCCCCAGCCCAGATCCAAGGACAGAGGCTGGAGGCGGCGGCTGGGTGGCGGCTCACCTTGCTCGAGCTTGCTGGCGGCCGCACGCAGGGTGGACGACGTGCTGCTGCCCTCGGCGCTGGGCGTGCCCGGCCGGCTGTTGCCCCGCGAGCTGCCTCCTGACGGCTTCCGCTCCCTCTTCGGGGGTGTCTTCTTCTTCTGCAGGTCAGGGTAGGGGCTGAGAACATGAGCCTGGAAACACAGGCCCCCTCCACCCTCCGCCCCAGACTCACCGCCATGAAGAGGGCCGAGGAGGCCTCGCTGTCGATGTCACTCTCCTCCGAGCTGTCCGACTCATCACTGCTGTCTGCGGAGACATGTGGGCGGAGGCGGGTCAGAGCCAGGGGCTGAGGGCCCTGAGCGCACCCACACCCGGCCGCCAGTGGAGCCCTGAGACCGCTGAGCCGCACCTTTCCTGCGCTTCTTCTCCTGAGGAGTGGGCGCCTTCTTCTCCTCCTCCTCCTCCTTGTCCTCCTCCGGCGGCTTCTCCTCCTCGCTCTCCTCGCTGCTCTCGCTCTGCTCGTCCACACCTGGGAAAGGGCCGGCGTGGGTGTGAGGGAAGAGGACCAGCCAGAGGGAGGGCCGGCCTGTCCGGTTTGTCCTGCCCACCTGTGTCCATTCCCACCAGCCCCGCCTGCTCTCGGCCCCGCCCACCTGTGTCCATTCTCACCAAGTCCCACCTGCCCTGGCCCCGCCTTCCATGCTGGCCCCACCCACCCACGTCCATCCCCACCAGCCCCACCTGCTCTCAGGTCCGCTCCTTGTCGCCCCGCCCACCTTGGTCCCATGCCCACCTGCTCCCCTTCACCCCGGCCTCCGCACCAGCCCCACCTCACCTTAGGGCCCTGCCTCCCTGGCCAGTCCTGCCCACCCTGGTCCCTTCTGCCGCCTACCCTTGGGCCCCTCCTCCTGCTGCGTCACTTTGGGCTTGCCCTCCATCTCGTCCTGGGAGCTGCTGTGGGCAGACGCGGGCACAGGGTGAGCGATGCGTGCAGGCCAGGTCTGAGGGGGCCACACCTGCCTCGCCTGCCTCACCTGGAGCCGTCTGACATGTAGTCCACCTCCTGGCCCTCGAAGTCCCCGTCGTCGCTGTCCTCGAAGGCCTCGTCGTCGGAGCCCTTCTTTTTCTTCTTCTTCCTGCCCGCTTTGCCCGCCGGGGCCTTCTTCTTGGCCTTGGGGGCTCTGCTGCCTGGGAAGGGGCGAGGGTGTTCAGGCCGGAGGTATCTGGGCGCCTCGCCGACCGCGAGACGGCCTCCCAGGACTGGCCGATTCTTGCAGCAGGGAAGGGCCTACCTGGAGCTCACCTATGATGGGCAAACTACCCAGTTCAGAGCCCGTGGCCCCAGTCACACACCAAGCCACTGCCCCGCCCTGAATCACCCAGGGCAGGTGACACCTGGGGCAACTGGAGCAGCCACGGGACCTCCAACCTGGCCATCCCTACCATCTCTCCTGGGGCGGCCCCAAGAGGCCATGGCCCTGGTTTTCCTGCCAGCCTCTACGGCCTCCCTCGGGGCCCTGCATGACGTGGCCTCGATGAACTGCGGCCCGGGCACCTCTGGGTGGCCCGCTCACCGTCCTCGCCGCTGGCCTCGCTGTCAGAGGAGGACATCTCCAGGTCGTCCTCCAAGTCGTGGATGCGCAGCTCGCTGGCCTTCTTGCGTCCGCGCTTCTCCTTGTCCTCCTCGTCCTCGTCCTGGTCCTGGTCCTTGAGCCGCCGCTGCTGCATGATGCTGAAGTGGTTCAGTACCTTGTTCCTCCTGCAGGCCGTGCGGGGCTGTCAGCACCTCCCAGGGATGGCCAGGGCCTGAGACGCCCCGACATCACCGGGGAGCCGGCCCTTCTACTCCCCCTCTGGCCTGACCCCCTCAGGGCCTGGATCGCTCAGACTCAGGCCTCATTCTCTGATCGCTGCTGGCAGTGCAGGCTGCCCCCTCCCCACTTTGCTTCTGCCAGGCTTCTGGAAGCTCCTATTCGTTTCATTTACTGTATTTTCTTTACAATCAGCTTTGTAAGGTTAGTGGGGGAAAACAGTTATTTTACAGTCATACTAAATCTGGGCAACAGATGGGGGACCAGCAGGTGGCGTGGTGGCTAAGACACTGGACACTCCCACATGGCTGACCACGGTTCAGATCCCAGACCTGGCGGCTTGCTTTCTCACTTTCTATCTTTCTCTGTCTCTCTCTGGTCAAATTAAAGTGAGTGATGAAATAAAATTAAATAATTCCTTAAAAAAAAAAACAAAAACTAGGCAACAGTCAAGCTGTGAGATACTCACATTGTTTTTAATTATTTAACTTTATGTATGTATTTATTTTAATTTGACCAGGGGGTGGAGAGAGAGAGAAAAAAGGAGAAAAAACAACGGCCCACGTCTGGGATTCAAACTGCAGTCAGCCATGTGGGAGTCTAGTGCCCTTAACCACCAAGAGACCTGCAGGCTCCGCCCCCCTTATAAAATTACTTTATTTAAGGTCTTTTTAATATAGTTGATCAGTGCCTTTTTCAATTTTTTTATTTATCCATTTATTTTTAATTTGACAGAGACATGCAGAGAGATAGAGAAAGAGGGGAAGAAAGCAAGCCACCAGGTCCAGGACTTGAACCGAGGTCAGTCATGTGGGAGTGTCCAGCACCTTAACCACCATGCCACCTGCTGGTCCCATGAGTGCCTTTTTATTATTTAATGACTAGGCACACAGATGTTTCCACTGGCACACTGGGATGATGTGACACTGTCCCACTGGCCACCGATGTTCTGTTTTAGAGAGGATCTGCTGTACATCTGTGGCCGGGGACCAACAGATGGCGTAATGGTTATGCTGCTGGACTCCCCTGTCGTGACCATGGTTTGGGTCCTGGATCCACTGGTTGAAAACTCACACTGGGCACATGTGCATATGTGTGCCCAAGATTCTGAAAGGAGAACGGAGAAGCGATTGTGGCATGGCCATCCCTCCCGGCAGGTGATTTCTCGCTGTCTGTCTGTCTCTGTTTCTCCAGTGAGTCATGTGCCCAGCGTGTTTTTCAAGCTGCTGGGTCTAGGACTCAAACCCCACAGTTGGCCATGTGGGTCATTACCTTAGCAGCTATGCCACCTGCTGGCCAAGTTTCAGACTGAGAAGATGAGAAAGCTGGGGAGACGGTGGGGACGGCTGAACTGTGGGAATGTACTTACTGTCACTGAGCTGTACACTTCCACGTGATTAAAACAGTGAATGTCACGTTATGTGGTTTGGTCTGTGTGTGCGTGCGTGTGTGCACATGCTCGAGGGCACATGTGCTCACCAGGGAGAGACAGAGAGAGGGAGATGCGAAAGCACTCCCCGGGGTTGTGGGGCTCAGGCCACAGTCCCTTCTCTCCCACCCCTCCCGCCTTCTGGGACTCCGAGTACACTCATACACGTGCTCAGAGTGTTTCTCGAGCCGCCAGGTCTGGGACCTGAACTGTGGGTGGCCATGTGGGGCTTGACTGCCTTAGCCCCCAGGCCATGGAGCCGGCCCTGGCATGTGTATTCTACCGAAACAAAAACAAGAAAGCTGCCATGGGTGGCGGTCACACGGCAGGCCAGCCATCCTGCATCTGCCATGCCTAGATGTGACTCGGGCACGGACACAGGACCCTGTCTCCAGACCCTGATGAGCCCGGCCGACATCTGCTCAAACGACGGCGTTTTCCCCAGCCTCCGTGTGATTCTCTAAAATATATATATATAAATATCAAGTGAAACAGGAATTCCAAGAGCGAGGGGCAGGCAGACACCAGCCAGGGAGAGGCAGGTCCCGGGGGGAAGGGGCTCTTCCCCACCGTGTGGGGGGGCTGCTTTTTAGAGCAAAGCCAACCTATGACCCATTCAAAAACTTCAAAGCTTAAAAAAAAGGGCTTCAGCAACAGAAAATGCAGCTTTGTGCACCTTTTGGGAGACCGAGACTCCTAGAACACCTGCTAGGCCGGGACACGGACAGAGCGGTTTTATAGACTTGTCCTGAGCTCTCTCCTTCACTGTTTGCACACAACCCAGGGCAGTGGTGGCCCTGAGGTCCCCTCCTCAGCCAGGCACCTGAGGCTTCATCCACATGCCCTGCTGCTCCACCCCACCTCCAGGGCCCTGACTGAGGCCACGGCCTTGGAAGGCCTCTCCCGGGCTCCTGCACAGGCACCTGCTCTGCACAGGGCAGGTGGCAGGTCACCATGTCCTGCTGGCAACCGAGCCCAGCCTGTGCCACCTCTTGCCTGCGGAACGCCGACCCCCCCCCCGCAAGCCAGCCCCACTCACCTCTCCCACTCCTCCTCGGCCTCCTCTGCGGTGAGTGTGCGGTGCCGGGCCAGCGGCGTGAAGTTGTACCAGTTGTGCACGGGGAAAGCCTCGAAGGCCCCGTCGGGGCACTGGGTGAAGATGTAGTAGGACGTGTTCTCCGTCACGCCGCCCTTCTTGATGCCCTTGAACCTGCGGGGAGCCCTGGTCACGGCCAGCCCACAGGACCAGCCCCAGCCCCAGCAGCGCCCTCGGCCTGCCTCTGGAGCGTCAGTGTCCACGTCTGAGAGCAGGCCCAGCGTGCCCGCCACCCCAGGCTAGGCCAGCACTCCAAGTGTGTCCAGGCCATTTCTGGAAGGACCGTGCTAGGTCAGCCTTGAAGAGCCGGTCCTGCAGTCAGGCCCACCTGACCTGCCCGTGGGCTACCACTGAGGGGCCAGGATGGCACGGGCGGCATGGCTAGGTCGAAGTGGGCACCGATGCAGGCCACCTGCCCTCCAGCCTGGCCTCTGCCCTCACCCTCCTCCCCCCCAAGGGTCCAGACAGCCTTGCTGCCTACCCCCTTCTCTGCCTACCCCCTTCTGAGGTCCCCTGGGGCGAGTCTGGGTGGATCCCTGGGACTGTCACTGCTGTGCGCCATTCCGCCTGGAGTGGCTCCATCCAGTTAACCTTTGGCTCTCCAGCTCTGCCCACGTCCACTCGCTCTGGGAGGACATCCGGCATACCTGGCCCCGTCCCAGGCCTGGACCCCTAGACTTCCTACGCCGTGACGCCCAGGCTGCCACAGCCAGGCACAGGTGCCAGCTGGGCTCATGTAAAAAGAAAACGCCACGAGGGAGGAGGTACAGGCCCCCCCAGCTCCGTGCCACTTACTTCCGGCCCGACTTGCCATTGACCCGGAGCAGCCAGGGCTGGTCCTCTGGCCGGAACTCCTTGAGCACGATGCCGTACTTCTTCCTCCGGGCCTCCTCCCGCAGCTTGCGGTTGAACTCGCTGCCTGCCCCCGACTCGGGCATCTCCTCCTCCTGGTAGATCTTCTTGTTGCTCAGGTCCCGCTCCAGGCGAGCCTGGGGGAACGGGAAGCCAAACTCTCAGGGTCCCTGCCTTTGCCCGGGGTGGGGGTGCCCCCACCAGAAACACCCTTCCCCCTTCCTAGGCTCAACACGTTAGTCTTAAAGTTACTTATTTATTATTGTTTCTTCCTTTTTTATTTTTTTATTTTTTTGGTGGGGGGAGATTTTTGCTACTGGGTGAGTACACTTACCAGAGAGAGAGAGAAAGAGAGAGAGAGGAATCCCCCCCAAGGGGGGACGGCCACGCTGTAATCCCTTCTCCATTCTCCTCTTGGATCTTGGGCACACATGCACATGTGCCTGGTGTGAGTTTTAAGTTGCCAGGTCCAGGACTTGAAACCGTGGCAGACGACATGGGAGTCCAGTGACATAACCATTATGCCATCTGCTGGTCCCTTTGTTATTATAATTTTTAATTTGACCAGAGACAAAGAGAGAAAGGGAAAGCGAGAGAGCAAACTGCTGGGTCCGGGAGTCGAGCCATGGTCAGCCATGTGGGAGTCTAGCTCCTTAAACCACCACGCCACCTCCTGCCCCCGCAGTAGTTTGATTAGTCTGATTTACAGCTAAACAAGGACTACAACCACCGAGTCCAACAGGAGGTTCTCTCACCACCCAAGACGAGGGACTCACCTGATTCCAAGTAGCAAAGTTGACTTTATCTGCGGCGTTGAACGCCATGATGTTATACTTCTTGGTGGTGTTCCTGGAGTGGGTAAGGAGAGACGGTGACCATTCAATCAACCATTCTGTCAACAAACCCACCAGGTACCGCCCTTTGTGCTGGGCGATGCTAGGGACGGGGGCAGAGAGCCTAGGGGTGCCCAGACTGTGAGAGAAGCCGGATCCATCCACTGCCAGTGCCACTTAGAACAGGAGGGAGGAAGATCTGGTGTGGGCGGGGGGACCCAAGACATGGGGATAGTCAGGAACTCAGCCCTGGGGAGGCGAGAGGGCAAGCAGGGAGTACATCCCGGAGGAGAACGATACTGGAACTGGGTTTTGTAGGATGGGGAGAGTCTACCGGTTGGAGGTGTGGGGGAGGATTGCTCCTGGCAGAGGGAGCAGCATGCACAAAGAACTGGGGAGGGAAGAACCCCTGAGCAGCCGGGAGCAGGACAAAGACTGCGTCCTCGTGTTCTCCGCGGAAGTCTGGGCAACACGGTATTGCACAGGCCTCGACCCTGCGGCCTGCCAACGCAGCGGCTCGTGTACGCATCCGTTCAAAAACCACTGACGTCCCAGAGAGGCCCCAGCCCAACCCCGGCGGCTCCCAGTCTGCCCCAGAGCCACTGGCGGGACCAGAAGCGGCCAGAAGCTCGGGAAGGTTTTGATCCGCTCTCGGGGAGTAGAAGAGGCGGTCAGAGACTTACTTGGGAACCCGGACGACATACTCGGTGACATTCTGGCTGCCGGGGCCCGGTAGGGAGAGGAGGCGGGATGGCTGGTGAGTGACGGGCCGCGGAGCCGCCGCGGGGACCCCCGGACCCCGCCTCATTCATACTCACCAGGGCCGCCATGGGCGATGGTCAGTGGTGCGAGTCCGGTCCGACCCGGATTCGCTTCGTCCCTCGGAGTCCGCGCCCCTCAGCCCGGGAGGCGGGCCTCTGGGTGTCGGGTCTCTAGCTGGGAGCGAAGACCACCCGCCAGGAGGCCCAGGGAGAAACTACCCGGAAGCCGCACTTGGCCGGCTCCGTCTGCGCCTGCGCCGTCGCCTCGCCCGGAAGTGACGATATCTCGCGGGGCCGCGTCGCGATGGCAACCAGCGCCGCCCTTCGCGCTGCCTCTTAGGACCGCCTTGCCCTTCTGTTTTCAGACAGGACAAAGACCGACTGAGCCTAACACAGACAAAGCGCTTTCTGTCCCTCGCGCGCTCTAATATAGCGCGATTACGTGATTAGTTTAAACACGACGCGTGGGAACGCCCCCTCACGTGATGTCACTCTCAAGGCCCGCGGGGCACTCTGGGAAGAGGGAAGAAACAAGTCTTCGCCGGCACCCGGGCTTTTTGCGCATGCGCTCGCTGGCTCCGGAAGTGAGGCCGCGTCACCATAGCAACCGAGGCCTATTTCGTCCTGTAGAGTCGTTTCCCCGCTCCATAAAGACCTCTTCGGGGGTCATTTGCAGCCTTGTGTCTCCTGGGTGGGGTCCCAACATCCCACAAAATGATCAGGGCGGGAGCCCTTGTGACGTTGTGCCGAGCCAGGAGGGGGTCGGGGCCCGGGTGGGGATGGGACGCGACCGTCCCCAGGGGTGCTGGCAGAATGGGTCTGTGCAAGTCCACGCTGCCCCAGATGGGCAGGCCGCTGAGGCCGCGGGAGAAGGGTAACATCGCAGGGGTGGCTGGCTCCTCGGGGGAAGGGAAGGAGGGTGTTGGGGACAGCAGGGAGGCGCAGGGAGCCGCCGGGCCAGGTGTGCAGACCAACCCCCACAGCGGTCGCGGCAGCACCACGACTGCGCGTGCGCAGCTCCTGGGTCCCTGCTTCGGAGACACTGCAGCGCCCCCAGCGGCGACCGTGTCAATCAGCCCTCCCTGTCCTGACCGCAGTGGCGACAGAAAAACGGGATCTAAGGGAAGCATAGCTGGCCCCGAGGGCTCGGGGAAGAGGGGTGATTTCAGCTGGGCTCTGAGGGATGCGTAGGAGTTGGCTAAGCAAAGGGGAACGGATGCTAAACACAAAAATGGGACCATAAACAAGCTTGGTGGTCTTGGACACTGATTCATCCCTCAGCCATTTCCAGACGTCAGGGAATGTTATCTGCTAGGAATACAGGGGTGAGCAGACAGGGAGGGTCCTCGTCCTGGTGGGAAGACACGAATAAACAAGAAAAGTCACAACCGTGTGGCCATGGCCGTGGAGGACACGGGGAGGCTCTGAGCAGACTCCAGACAGCAGGTGGAAAAGTGATGGCAGAGGTGACCAGAGGAACCTGGGCAGGCAGGGCTCTTCCAGGTGGAGGGAACAGCGGGTGGGAGTGAGTTTGGCAAGTTCAAGGGCGCTAGGTCCCACGCGGCCACTTGAGCAGTGCGGGTCCCCCACCTGGCGGCTTGAAACGCACATCAGGTGCCTCACGTGCATGCCCAAGATCCCGAGAGGAGAATGGAGGAGAAGGGATTGCGGGGTGGCCATTCCCCCCACGTGGGGTGATTTCTCACTTTCTGTCTCTCTGTTTCTCTTGCAAGCTCACATACCCCATAGCAAAAATCTCTCTTAAAAAAAAAAAGTACTGGACTCCCACATGGCTGATCATGGTTCAAGTTCCGGACCCGGTGGCTTGAAACTCACACTGGGTGCATGTGCATGCGTGCCCAAAATCCTGGGAGGAGAATGGAAGAGAAGGGATTGCAGTGTAGTCATCCCCCAGAGAAGATTTCTCACTTTTCCTCTGTCTCTGTCTCTCTTTCTGGTGAGAGTATGCACCCTAAGGCAAAAACCTCTCTCCCTCTAGGGGTGGCATGGTGGTTAAGGGCACTGGACTCCCACATGCTCATCTGCGGTTCAAGTCCTGGACCTGGTGGCTTGCTTTCTCATTTTCCCTCTCTCTCTCTCAAAATAAGTAAATAAAGTTGAATAAAATAATAATAATTTTTTTGGAGAGGTTTTCGCTATAGGGCGCTTGCGCTCGCCAGACAGAGACAGAGAGACAGAAAGCGAGAAATCACCCCCCTGGGGGGATGGCCATGCCGCAATCCCTTCTCCTCCATTCTCCTCTCGGGATCTTGGGCACGCACGCACACCCGCCCAGCATGAGTTTTAAGCCACCGGGTCCAGGACGCGAACCGTGGTCGACTATGTGGGAGTCCAGCGACATAGCCATTACGCTAACTGCTGGTTCCCAAAAATAATAATTTTTTTTTTTAAAAAAGTGAAAGAAAGGAAGGCCACTGGGGTTGGGATAGTGAAGGAGGGGAGCGTGGGGTGGGATGATCTGGGTTCATGGGCAAGCGCCTGCCCCCTCCGAGCCTCAGTCCCCCGAGCTGTACAGTGCGGATGAGCAGTCGTGGCAGAGCTTCAGGAAGGTGCAGTGCGCAGGGGGCCTGGCCCACCTCTGTCCACAGCAGCCCCCAGCAGGACTGGGGCAGGGCACACCTGCCTCTCCTCCTGGGGGAGACAGGTACCGCCGGCCGCTTCTAGCTGTCAGGAATGGCCTTATCTGCTAGGAATACGGGGTGAGCGAGACAGGAATGGTCTCTGTCCAGGAGCCCCCCTAGGGCAAAGGAGGGTGGACCAAGGGACCCAGCCCGCGTCACCCGAGCACACGCACTACCCTGTGGACACAGGCCCCCGGTGCCGGCCGGCCCCTGCAGGCACTCAGCTCCCTCCCTCTGCCTGGGCACCGCAGACATCCTCAAGTCGCCCCTGATCATCTTCGTGATGGGCGGCCCGGGCTGCGGTAAGGGGACGCAGTGCAGGAACATCGCGAGCAAGTACGGCTTCTGCCACGTTGGGCTGGGCCAGCTGCTGCGGCAGGAGGCCCAGAGGGGCACCCGGCGGGGCCGGCAGATCCGGGACATCATGCTGCAGGGGCTCCTGGTGCCCACGGTGAGAGCTCACGGCTGGGGAGAGGGAGCACAGAGGCATGGGGGCTGCGGGGGCCGAGGGACCCCTGCCTTCCTGCAGAGCCTCCATTACCCCATCTGTAAAATGGGGTGTCGGGAGGGAGGGCTGGGTGACGGCACTCCTAGAAAGTGCCTAGCAGAGTGCCCCGGGCGGGCACTTAGCCAGTCTTGGCCAGCTCCATGGCCTGGTGGGTCAGGCAGCCTGGGCCAACATGGCCAACCCTATGGTTCGAGTCCTGGACACAGAGGCTTGGGAAGCACATGTGCATGCATGCCCGAAATCCTGGAAGGAGGAGAGATTGCAGCATGGTCATCCTCCCTGGGGGGTGATTTCTCACGTTCCCTCCCACTGTCTCTGTCTCTCTCTCCTGGGAGCACACACGCCCTAGGGCCAAAAAAAAAAAAAAAAGAAGCTGGGCTGGCAGGTGGTGGATAAAGGCACTGGATTTCCACAGTTCGAGTCCTGGACCTGGCAGCTTGCTTTCTCACTTTCCCTTTCTCTCTCTGGTCCAATTAAAAAATAATAACAAATGGAATTAAATAAATAAATAATTCTTTTTAAAAAAATGCTGGTATTTATTCCCTCCCTAACCAATGAGCCTGGCAGCTGCCCCTGTCACCCCAGTACCTACCTCGTAACGTGGCAATGACAGTGAAATGACACCCGCAAGCCTGGTGCTCACCCACCACACAGTGCAGGCCCAGCTCCCAGACACGGCTTCCCCTGGGCTTCAGAACAGGTTCAGTACCCAGGGCAGCAGGCGGGGCGGTGGCACCCCGTCTTCACCTGGGGCAGGTCAGGAGGAGAGGGCTCCCCGGATCTCCCTGAGCAGAACCCCTTCCTCCCCAGGGCATCATCCTGGACATGGTCAGCGACAACATGCTGTCCCGTCCGGAGAGCCGAGGCTTCCTCATTGACGGCTTCCCCCGGGAGCTGAAGCAGGCCAAGGAGTTCGAGCGCCTGGTGAGTGAGCCTGAGCGCGTGTGCGTGTGCGTGTGCGCCGTGTCCAGGGGGCGAGCCGTCCCCCCTCCCTGGTTTGGGCCGAGCTGTGCTGGGTGGAGATCGGAAGGTCTGAGAGGTCAGAGCACACGGGCTTCTTCTCCCTTCCCGTCATTGCTGTGGGGCGCGTGCACTCACCAGAGAGCCAGAGAGCGAGAGACAGAGAGAGAGAAATCCCCCCCCCGGGGGGCACGGCCACCGCACCATCCTTCTCCTCTGCTCTCCTCTGGGGACTGGGAACACGCATGCACACGTACCCCGTGTGATTTTCCAGCTGCAGGTCCACACAGGACTTGAACTGCACATTGACCATGTGGGATCAGGCCACCTGGTTCCGCGCCACCTGCTGGCCTTGACAGGGCCAGAACCTTTTTGAAAAAAGATTTATTGTGGGGCCGGCAGGTGGTGTGGTGGTTAAAGGTGCTGGACTTCCACATAGCTGACTATGGTTTGAGTCCCAGACCTGGCGGCTTGCTTTTTCTCTTTTCTTCTCTCTCTCTCTCTCTCTCTCTCTCTCTCTCTCTCTCTCTGTCTGTCTCTGGTCAAATTAAAATTTTTTTTGAAAATAAGGGTCCAGCAGGTGGCATGGTGTTTGAAGCGCTGATGTTCCCAGATGGCTGACCGTGGTTCAAGTCCCGGGCCTGGTGGCTTGCTTTCTCACTTTGTCTCTCTCTCTCTCTCTCTCTCTGTGTCTGTCAAATTAAAAATAAAGAAGTGAATAAATAAAAATAAATAATTATTTAAAGAAAAAAGATTTATTGGGGCCTGCTGGTGGCATGGTGATTAGGGTGCTGGATGCCCACATGGCCCACCACAGTTCAAATCCTGGACCTGGTATCTCGCTTTCTCCTTTTCCCCTTCTCTCTCTCTCTCTCTGGTCAAGTTAAAGAAGATAATAATAAAAGTAAATGAATAATTCTTTTTTTTTTTGGAGAGGTTTTTGCTATAGGGCGCGTGCGCTCGCCAGACAGAGAGAGACATAGAGACAGAAAGCGAGAAATCACCCCCCAGGGGGGATGCCATGCCGCAATTCCTTCTCCTCCATTCTCCTCTCGGGATCTTGGGCACGCACGCACTCGCGCCCGGTGTGAGTTTTAAGCCATCGGATCTGGGACGCGAACCGCGATTGACTACGTGGGAGTCCAGCGACATAGCCATTACGCTAACTGCTGGTTCCCATGAATAATTCTTTAAAAAAAGAAAAAAGATTTATTTAATTTTTTCAATGAACATGAGACAGAGAGAAAGAGACACTGACAAGGCCTTTATTTATTTATCCATTCACTTATTTTCATTTGACCAGAGAAAGAAAGACAGGCACACACAGAGATGGAAAGTGAGAAAGCAAGCCACCAGGTCTGGGACTCGAACCATGGTCAGCCATGTGGGAGTGTCCATCACCTTAATGACCATGCCACCTGCTGGCCTGACCGACAGGTCTTGAAGCCACAAGCCACTGCCGGCCTCCGGTCACGTCGCATGTGCACCGCCAGACTGGCCCAGGCCTATCTCTTTTTTTAAGTTTATTTTTTCATTCCATGTAGGGCTTTTTGTTTTTAAAGAATGATTTAGTTTTATTTATTAGTCATTCTTTTTAATTTGACCAGAGAGAGAGGGTGTGTGGGGGGGGAGCAAGCTACCAGGTCCAGGACTCGAACCACAGTTGGCCATGTGGGAGTCCAACTTAACCACCACGCCACCTGCTGGCCCCCGTGAGGGACTTTGCATTACAATTCACCTCCAGCAGCAGCCAGCCTGGATCGTGGGCACACACGTGCTCACGGAACCTCCCTGGCCCCGAACCCACGACCTTTCCCACATGGGTCCTGTTGCGTTAAGGGCGTGCCATCAGCTGGCCCCTTGAGAGTGTCCTTGCTAGTCAGCGCGGACTCTGAAGCCAGGCCTGAGCAGGGGAGGTGCAGTGCACTGAACTCAGGGACCCCGTCGTTCTGTCTGGACAGTTAGGCAGCAGAGGACCTGCCGGCAGCTCGCGGTGCTAGGCTGGCCTGGGATTCGCTGACGCCCTTCCAAGAGGTCCAGTCGCTTGGATGGAATCAAAAGCCACCCAGGGCGAGGCCAGCTGTCCCTACGGCAGGTGGGTTCCTGCCCTTTGTTTGCAGCTTCAGGGCGGGCTCAGCACGATGAAGAGCAAATATGGGCTCCCCCTCCAGGACTGGGGGTTCTGTGGGGGCCAAGGCCAGCTGACGCGGTTCAGGCCAGCGCCCGGCCTCAGCTAGGTGGGGTTGCCAGAGCGAGCTGCGGCGGGGTCTCAGGACGGAGGCCACAGGCCTGACCCGGGGCCCATGCAGCCCCCCGCCATGTTCCCTTTGGACTTCACGGCGTTTCCCAGCTTCTCCGTGGGACCCGTGGACGAGGATTCAGACATGGGAAGCTTCCACATCCAGACTCCCAGCTTGTCTTGAAAACCGACTGACTTGGCAACGCGGGCCTTGCCGTCCCCATGGCAACAGCAGCACAGCGTTTTCTGAGCCTGCTCTCAGCACCCTGCGTGGTCAGGACTCATCTTCCGGAAGGTTCCAGGCGCCCGCACTGCTGGCATCCCAACCGGGGAGCTCGCCTGTGTTCGCACAACCTAGGCAGGACCCGAGGCCAGGGCGGGTGGTGACTTTAACCCCTCCCCCCATGCGTGACTGCCACCGCTTGGCCCTGGTGTCCCCAGCACACCACTTGCTCCATCACAGAGGCAGGAGTCCTGCGTCATTTGGGGTCCTGTGGTGTGGCTTCACGGGAAGGGGAAGCGTGCTTTCCCGGGTACTCACGTGGCTGTCGCAGAGAACACGGGCGGTGGGCAGGGGGCCAGCCGGTGGTGCGGTGCTCACGGCGGGAGGCTGGCCGTGTGGTTCGAGTTGAGGACCTGCTGGCTCGAAAAACACGCTGGGCACGTATGCACAGCCCAAAATCCTGAAAGGAGAGTGGAGAAGAAGGGGAGGGCGGCGTGGCCGTCCCCCGGGGGTTGCTTTCGCACTTGCCCTCCCTTTCTCTGTCTCTCTGTCTCTCTGTCTCTCTCGCGCACGAGGGCATGTGCCTATAGCAAAAAGTTTAAAGTAAAACGACAGGGCCAGCGGGTGGCGAGGTGCTTGAGACGCTGGACTGGACTCCCACGTGGCCGGCCTTGGTTTGAGTCCGGGACCTGGTGGCTTGCGCTCTTTCTTTCTGGTGAGCCCGTGCGCCCTGTATCAAATTAAAAATAATAATAATAATGAGAAATAAACTTAAATCATTCTATAAAAGGAAAGAAAACACCCACAAGACTGTTGTAACAGGGGGTCCTCCTGGTGGACGTTTTCAGGGGAACGTTCAGATCCGTTCCGCCTGCCTGGCCCCTGCAGGTGTTTGAGCTGTGCCAGCTCCTGCCGTGTCTGTCCAGGTTCTAGGTCAGTGTCCCCGGGACCTGAACTCGACCAGACCCAGCGCATCTGCAACCCCGGTGTTTGGTGCCAGCAGCAGGTCTGGCCCGAGGCTGGACAGAGGACGGACAGACATCTCCGTACTCGGGCACAGCGCGGAAGCCAAACACTGTGGATGGGTTTCCCATGCCAACCCCCTGAAGTCCACAGGAAGCCAGGTCGGACTCACTCCTGGTGTTCCAGAGAGACCAGCGGCCCCGCTTCACAGACGGAGAATCCGAGATCCGAGGAAGGGGGGGTTCCCTGCAGTGCCCTCCTGCTGGGCTCCACGGGAGATGGGGAGGCCCACTGAGTGTCACGGCCATGGCTGGGGCTGCCATCGCTCCGGGCCACGCCGCCAGCCTGGGAGCATGATTCGCATGTTCGAGCCCCAGTCCCCTCTTCTCAGGACTGAAGAGAACACCAGAAGCATGTCCTTGGCGTACCAGAGGCCTGTTTGGGTGGCAGGTTTGCGTCTGCCTCTGAGATCGGGTAGTTCTCGTCTACACCTGCCGTGAGAACGCAAACGCCAAGGGGCCCAGGCCCACGGCTGGAAGCTGGCACGGAGCCCGGGCTGGTGAGAGTGGATGAATGCGCGCCAGCCCGCCCAGGCTCACGGGGCTCTCACTTTCCCTCGCACTCGCTCGCTCTCTCTTTCCTGCGAGCACACACGCCCCACAGCAAAAATCTGAAGAAAACGAAATTAAGTTGAAAAGGGAAGTGATGGGGCTGCCAGGTGGAGTGGTGTAAAGGCACTGGACTCCCACATGCCTAACCATGGTTCGAGCCCCGGACCTGGCGGCTTGTTCTCACTCTCTTACCCTTTCTCTGCTCAAATTAAAACAGTAACACGGGCCCAGCGGATGGCGTAGTGGTTACGTCGCTGGACTCCCACGTAGCTGACCGCAGTCTGAGTACCAGACTCGGCAGGTGTGTGTGCGTGCCCAAGATCCCAAGAGGAGAAAAGAGGAGAAGAGATTGCAGTGTGGCCATCCTCCCTGTGGAGGGGGGGATGTTGGTTTCTTGCTGTCTGTCTGTCTGTCTGTCTCTCTGGCAAGCACATACACCCTATAACAAAAAAATCCCTCTTAGAAAAAAAACGGAATTAAAAGGCTGAATCAGCTGGATTTAAAAAAAGAAGAAAGAAGAAAGAAGTATCCGCCCCTGCCTGTGCCCCGGCCCCTGCCCGTGCTTGTTTCTGATGTCCGGTTTCAGACACAGGAAGCTGGACGGTAGGGGAACGGATCCCGCATGCCCGGCTCCAACCATGACGACACCTGACTATGCCCGCTCTGGGCCCCCGCCGCTTGCGGCCATGGCCAGCTGTGTGTGTGTGTGTGTGTGTGTGTGTGTGTGTGTGTAATCTGTCATAAATTTGTCATCAAGTGCACACACTCACTGGAGAGAGCGAGAGAGGGAGGGCGAGCGAGCACCCCTCGGGGGGATGGTCATGCTACAATCCCTCCATTTCTCACTTTTGGGCCTTAGGGCTCACACACATGCAACCAGCATGTTTTTCAAGCCACCAGGTCCGAGACTGGAACCATGCAGTCGGTTACGTGGGATCTAGCCACCTTAATCGCCAGGCTGCCATCTGACCCAGACACAGGTCTTTTGACTTTATCTTTTTGCCATGCAAAAATTACCTTTTGTTTGATTTTGCAGTAAGGTATGCAGAGGAGAAAGAGAGAGAGAGAGAAACCACCTCCTGGCGGAGGTGGCCATGCCGCTATCCCTCCTCCTCCAGTCTCCTCCTGAGATTTTGGGCGCACACACGTGAGCCCAGCATGACTTTTAAGCTGCTGGATCTGGGACTTAAACTGTGCTTGGCCACGTTGGAGTCCTGCGCCTTAACCACTACGCCACCTGCCAACCCCATAAGTTACTTTAAAATTATTTGCCACATCTATCGACGTTTTCTGTTTTTGCTTCTGGATGTTTTAATTTTTCCGGTCAGAGGACACCAGAGAGAGGGAGAGGGGGAGGAGAGTCAGAGAGCACCCCCATGGGGTATGGTCCCACCATAGTCCCTTCTCCTGCAGCTCTCCCTTTCATTTCAAAAAATTTTTTGAGAGGTTTTTGCTATAGGGCACGTGCGCTCGCCAGACAGAGAGAGACAGAGAGACAGAAAGCGAGAAATCACCCCCCCCGGGGGGGATGGTCACGCCGCAATCCCTTCTCCTCCATTCTCCTCTCAGGATCTTGGGCACGCACGCACATGCGCCCGGCATGAGTTCAAGTCACCGGGTCCAGACTAGAACTGCAGTTGACTACATGGGAGTCCAGCGACGTAGCCATGACACCAATTGCTGGTCCCCCACCTTTCGTGACTTTGGGCACACACACGTGCCCGATATGACCTTCAAGCTGCCGGGTCTGGGACTTGCTTAGCCGGCCATGTGAGGTCCAGTGCCAGCCCGGGCATTGTGTGCTTTATTCTTGCTGCCAGCGGGGCCCTTCTTTGTAACTGGCGACTTTTGTATGCGTATGGTGTAGGGATTACCAATTAAATGATTGGGTTGTCATGGGGCCAGCAGGTGTCATGGTGATTAAGGGCACTGGACTCCCACATGACTGACCGTGGTTAGAGTCTCAGACCTGGTGGCTTGCTTTCTCTTCCCCTCTCTCTCACTCTGTCCCTGTCCGATCAAAATTAGAAATAAATAAAGGTAAATAAAATAATCCTTTAAAAATTTTTCTGGGGCCAGCAGGTGGGGTAGTGGTTAAGGGTGCTGGACTCCTACGTGGTCAACTGTGGTTCGAATCCCAGACCTGACAGCTTGCTTCCTCTCTCTTAAGAGTTCTGTCCTTCTCTGATCAAATTAAAATAAATAGTTTTAAAAAATTTAAATTTTTCAAAAGGAGTGCTTCAACCTAAATATCCATGACCGAGGCAGCAGGTCAAACTACGGGTGGGGGTGGTGAAAAGGACTTGGAGAATGCCTCCCGTGCCAGTGTGGACCTGCCCTGCTTCACTACACGAAGTCCTGCACCTGGCCGTGTCTACCATCTGTGCAGAGGGCTGGGCCTGCAGCCGAGTAGCTGAAGGACCCACACCCCACATGGCTGACTGCGGTTCAAATCCCGGCCCACCAGGCGTGTACAGGCCACAAATCCAGTCAGGTGGAGACATGGAGGCGGGTGTGGTGTGAGCACGCCCTGCTGGGGTGCTTTTGCTTGTGCCCTCTACTCCTGAAGGCCTCTGGAGGGATTGACCCCGTGGTCTCCAGGGGAGGGGCACTAGGTGGCCAGAGCAGTCGCCTCACTTTCCCCACGTGTCATTTGGCTCTGGAGCTCTGCCAGGTCCCACCCTGCCTCTCCAAATATAAACACGCCAAACTTGAACTGGTAAACAAACAGAAAATGCAGACAGGGAGGCCGGTTTTACACAGTCACCCACGCGCTCTTACCTGGGTCTCTCCCTTGGTGCCTAGGTGGGCCGAGCCCCCAATATGGTCATCGTGTTCGACTGCTCCATGGAGACCATGGTCCGGCGGGCGCTGCGGCGGGGCCAGGCGGAGCACCGGGCGGACGACGCGGAGCCGGCCCTGCGACGGCGCCTGGAGACGCACTACAGCCTGAGCGAGCCTGTCCTGGCCTTCTACCAGCACAAGAACCTGCTCCGCAACGTGGGTGCCACCTGTGCGCCGGGGGGCCACGTCCTGGCGGGAAGTGGGGGCGCGGGCCCAGGGAGCCGGACATTCTAGAGGCTACCTGGGAGTGGAAGGGGCCGCCAGACTGGCCGGTCCCAGGCCATCAAGGCCCCGTGGGAAGGAGCCACACCTCAGCCCTCCTCAGCCCGCCCAGCCTGGCCCTTGCCTGTTAGGATGAAGCTGGCCGTCCAGCTGGCGGGAAGGTGGCCAAGGGGCCCAGGCCCCACCACAGGCCCTCGGCCTGCCCGGCACCCAGTGGCCCGAGGCTGAGCTGCGGGCTGAGGGGCAGTGTCCCCACAGTGGACCCCGGCCCACTCCTCTCTCCTCTAGATCCTGGCAGAAGCAGCACCGGAAGACATTTTCGCCAAGTGCTGCTCTGTCATCGAGAGCCTGCAGTGACCAGGAGCAGGCTGGGCTCCCCCCGGACCCTCCAGACAGGGAGGAGTGCCTGCGAGGTGAGAGCTGCGGGGCACAGCCTCCGGGGTTGCTCCTCGGCCCAGCAGGGCCAGCCAGGCTCTTGGGCTCCGTCTGGCCCCCATGTAGGGAGCTCAGCCTCCCCAGGCCAGCAGCCCCAGGCACCTGCTGTCACCTCTTCCCCAGGAGGCCGAGGCCTGCTCCGAGCACAGGCACAAACCTGGTTGCCACCCAGGGCTCACCACTCAGCAGCAGCCGGAGTAACTCCCGCGGGGCACGGCAGGCCTCGGCCATGGGAACGCCCAGTCCGGGGCCTGGGTGCCCTGTGCCCCACGTCCCCACCAGCCGACCCTCACTTCCTCCACACACAACTGCGGCCAGCATGCAGATTTTTTTTTTAAACAAAAAGCACTTTATTTAACCAAAAAGGGAGGGGGGAGTTAAGAAAGCACAATGCGCCTGCAGAAAACTATTTTCTTATATTTCTGTTTTCTTAAAAAGGAAAAACCACAACACAAAGCTTGTAATTTCCAATCACCATTATCAGGCCTTTTTTTTAAACAACATCTATAAAGAACAAAACATCTGCTTTGAAACTCTATGGGGGGAGAGAGAGAAGAGAGAGGGAGGGAGGGGAGGAGGGGGAGGGAGAGACAGCACCGGCACACAAGGGAGGTTTTGTTATCATTTATTTGTGAAGTTAAAAACGAGCGATAAAAAGTAAAAACTGCCATACAATTTTTGTTTTGTTCTATTTTGTTTTCAGTTCCAATCTCTTCTTGAACAGGTGAAAAGACGACGACCAGACCAGTCCTGGGAGGAGGGAGGGGGGAAGGAGGAGGGAGAAGAGGGACGGGGG